CCCCGATTCCCGATTAAACTGTAGCCAATCTTCCTCGACCAGTAAGACGATGTAGCTATTGTCAGAATTGGAAACACCGCGGCGGATGCTATCTTCGCATCTCAAGACGACCTTGACAGCCTTATCTTTCTCGCAAGAGAACACAGGATCGATTTTGACCCAGCAAAGTCAGAACTTCTAGTGATTGGAGGAAGGCCTAGAAAGAAAATAAACGCGGCTGATCTTTCCCTCTTGGTGAAAGATTGCCGGATCGAACCGTCACCTCATATCCGGTGGCTAGGAGTCTGGCTTGATACCCAGCTAAACTTCAAGCAACATGTATAGGAATAGACTGGAAAAGCTAATCGTCTAGTCTATTTCTTACGACATATAAACGGAGTTCAAAGTGGTGCAGCACCCGGACCTTTGATTCGTGCGGTACATGCATGTGTTCTGAGCACAGCTCTATACGGGGCAGAAGCGTGGTGGCAAGGTCTCACTCGAATAACGACACTGCGAGATAAAGAAGTCGGCACTAGAGTAGGCTGGTATATATCTCTACTGGGAAAAACGATAATGAAAGCTATCAGAGTAGCACTCCCAGCGTGGCGTACCACTCCAAATGGCGCTCTTCATCGTGAAGCGGGAATACCCCCGGCATCGATAATTCTCCAGCAAAAGATGCTGCGGTCTGCAGCTCGTATGCGAAGAATGGATTTCTGGCACCCTCTGGCCCTTCGGGCGACCGAGGATCCGAAAGAGACAATAAGACGCTTAGGTCTTAGATCGGGACAAAGAAATCGTTTGTTTAGACAACCAGAACGGTACATGACACGCCTACAAATGAGTGTGCGTCGAGTTCCGATAGCCGAAGGCCCCGGAAAACTATACTTCCCACGTGGCACTCCAGCATCGATTCCATGTAGTAGAGAAAATGAAGCTAGGTCTGGAAGCATAAAGCGGTGGCTAGCTTCCCGTCCAGCTAACTCAGTCTTCGCTTTCTCTGATGGATCATCATCGGGTCCCGGAAAATCAGCCTGGGGGTATGTAGTATACCAAGGAGGCAAGCTAGTTACAAGTGGCTCCGGTCCACTTCCTGGAGCGGAGGTATTCGACGCAGAAGTTGTAGGTGCCATGAAAGCCTCGAAGGCTGCAACAGAGGTAGGAGAAGACTTACTGATCTGCATTCTTCTGGACAACCAAGCGGCCGCCCAGGCGCTCGAAAGAGGAAGATCTAACTCCTCGCAGTCGGTGGTGGACAAGTTTTCATCGCTGAGATACAATAAGCGTGTGGAAATTCGCTGGATACCCGGGCATGTGGGGATTCAAGGCAATGAAGAGGCCGATAAGCTGGCCAAATCAGCCTTGGAAGCTCCCAATAACCTCTCACTAACCTCAGCTGCGCCCAGCAGAGAAGATCAAGATCTAACATTTGCGGCATCAGGGAGGTGGGTTAAACAGCGTAGCCAAGAGCTCGTGGAAGAGTGGTGGCAGAAGTATCGACCGAAACGATACAAAGATCTGGACCTATTCATGCGTTGCAAAAGACCACCGGAACTAGCTTTACCAAGATGGGCGTACCATCGTCTTATTGCGGTAAGAACAGGCCACGGGGACTATGTCGACTGCCATCAACGTTTCAACCCCGAACATGAAGATCTGAAATGCGTTTGCGGCCGAAAGAAAAGGCCCTGGCATTTTTCAGAGTGCCGACCTGCTTTGCTACGTTGGAGAATCTATGAGAAAATGGCCCCACCTGGGGCCAGGGAAATGATAGGGGAGAAGGGATGGCAGAAGTTCATTCAATTCTTAACTACAAGCAGATGTTACAGTCTGCCGAAGAATGAACAGGGTGGGAGGTGACCACGCTGAGATTGTTTCTGACTCGAGAGGAGATGGGTGTGGAAGATAGGGATGCGGCGCAGGGCACCGTAACTCAGACATATACTGTTCATTTTTTTTTTCCTTTTGTCGCTTCTGGCTCCACTGCCGGTCCTGTAGGTAGCAATGAGCTTTCAGAGCCCATCTACCCGTGTCACGTCTAAATAGATGTTAGGTTCTTCCTGTCACGTAAAAGATTTCAAATTCAAATTCCTCGACCAGTAAATTTGACTAAATTTCTACCAGTCGCATCAGATGCCTCCCACTGAAAGCGTGAGTTATACGGTAATTCCAAAAATGGTTAGGCCGAGTGAGAAAAGAAAAAGCCGTATTCCCGTCGAACAGTGGTTTCGCGCAAAAATTGTCCTTGAGAATTCGATTTGGTTGGTCCATTGAGCCCCGTCGTAAAATCTTCCTCAGCCAGATCCACTTCCCAAAAGCTAGCGCACCCTCGTGAGTAGGGCTAGGTCTATTGATGTTGATAGTAAGTGGCAGAGTGCTGTAATTTTCTGCTTTCTTTGACGCGAATTTCAGCCTCTCATAGTCATTCACCACAGTTACCTAGAGGAGCAAGCCCAGACACTGAGCTTATAGATTTTATACTTTATGTCGATTTTGTATATTGGTCTGTTATCACAGACACGGAAATAGATTTATGAGATTGCTTGATGAGAGTCTAGGATTGATTCCGATACTGTTTGGTAGAAGACTTGTCCCAAGCATCAGATGGCTAAAACGTCTTTACCTATCTACAGGAAAATCCCCCATTTTCCATCTACACTAGCCATACAAGGCCTAGCAGACAAAACCTGATTCGTATCATAGTTTTGGGGGTTGAAGTTTACCATGCATTTTGCCACTTGAGTCACATGCCTGCTAATTATATGATAGGCTCAGGTATCAATCTAATAACCCACCACGGACAGAAACTACTCACAATCCTGATCATGGCCCCATGAATAAATGTAACTGTAGCCTGCAACCTAGCAAAATAAGGCTAGATATAGTTGACTAGGATCTAGTGCGAACATGAGCCCACGGACAGTACAGGAGCTGAAGCAAAAGCTCGCGAGAATTCTGAGGATAGACTCATAATTAGTGAGCCATTAGATGGCGTGGGAGAACTTATAGCAAGACAGGCTTCTTGTCCCTCCTGGTGTATCAGCCGCATTCATTCTTTATCTGACCGAACAAAGAACCCAATAGCGCGAAAGGGCCGGGCTGGACAACCAAGAGAAGAGACCTCGTGAGGATCGACTTAATTTAAGCATTATATCGGTGTCATACACATCCCATTGTGAGAGTCTGATGCGCAGAGACTACATCGTGCCCTGCGAATGCAAGCGTTGATATTGTGAAAGCCGTGACAGCGAGGGTAGACCTGGAGACGAGGGCGTTTATCTACTGGCCAAATTATAGCGGACGTCGCAAAGAGGCGGATACTAGTCGGAAGTTTTTCTAAAGCTTGCTTTAAGACTACCTGCAAAAGTGTTCCTTTCCGGTCCGGAGATTCCCCCGAGCGGCGCATACAGGACATGAAAAATATTGATTCAATGTCAGCTTTTGCACTTGTTAGCTCCTGCCGGATATCTGCATCGGATAGAGCCTCGGTTGAATCAGAGGAATTGTGTCCGTATTTTGGAACTGGACAGGGAAGAAAATTTCGAAGCTTTTCTTGCCTTTCAATTGGCACAATTCCAGTTCATACTGCAGGACTATAGCTGCCGGAAGGAGTTCTAGAGCTTGGCCTGGAGAGGGAGCCGCCAGAGCAATGTTAGCTCTGGGCGGTCTAGAAGGCTTCTCAGCTTTGTGCGGACGAGGTGGGAATCTTCGTGTCGCAAAGGGTGATCAGGCGCAAGGTGTACCATGGTCTTTGAGTCAGGTTTGAATTCTACAGCCGATGCTGGGGCTTTTTTGGTACTTTTTGGTGGATGGAATAGGATAGGCAGACCTTTCTTCGCCACATTAGCATACGACAGTGGGTGTTTAATTGCGAACGGGATGTCAGATTTCGCATTTTCTTTAGATTTTGTAGCTGTTGACTGCTCGAAAAGTGGCAGGCCAGCGATAACATGAACGGCGCTACGTGTCACTATAGCTTTCAAATCAGCTACAATAGATGATGGGGGATCGCGAAGGTGTCGAACTCCAGCGTTTTGCCATGCCAATAGTGATGTGGCAATATCATTGTTCATGGCCGCCGAGGGTTGGTGGATAACGCGCGTTGCTGTTCGCCATTGGGGATGGTAGATTGGGTATCTGATTCCAGTGTACCTTCAAGTTGAGGTTTGGCGACAGCGTGCAAGGAGCTGGAAAGGCCTGTCTATTACGTGCTGTGCCCCGTTCGATTAGGCTAGGCTTTCTTTCAGGCCCAGCCTCGTCCAATGATATTAATCACGTGATAATATGCGGACTCGAACCACTCAGTTACTTATGCTAAGGCTGGGAAACGGATCACCCAGCAGCGAAGGAATATGTATCGAGAATCTAGATCACTGGTAGCTGCAGAGGGCATATTTACTGTAACGGAATTACTATTATTAATCTTCATAGAAAAATATTTATTATTTGTCATACTGTTCACGTGCGTTGTCTGTAATTATCCTCGCCCTTAACGCCGTGCCAGAGATGATTTTCAATAATCTTGAGGCTTATGGCTTTGGAGTCTCCCTCATAGGCTCGAGTGCTAGCAGCTGGACAGGGAGGTGGTCATCTTCTGACCCTGAATCCATGCATTCATCTTCTGAGTTAATGAGAATCGATTCAGCTGGGGATTGGTGTCCATCAGCGGAAGCTGCAAGGATAGCTTCTTCTTGTACAGTTATAAGTGATGACTTTTATCTTGCGGGTTTGGCGGCGCGTGTAATAGCTCTCGCTGGCAATGCAAGCGCAGCAGGCTTACTACGTCTATCGGGTGGCATACTGTCTTGATTTCGACGAAAATAAATGATGTCTGATGATTTGACTTGGGTGCTGAATTTGAGACTGCTTACTTTTCATACATATCCGTGCATACACGTGACCGTATATCAACGAGATGGTCTACTTGCGCAGCCTTGACTCATCTATGCGAGAAGACGACCAACAAACCGTCGTCGAAAACCCAAAGTATTCGGGGCATCAGACAAGAGGAAATTCGAATGACTCGTAGCACTCGGCTCAAGAAAAAACCGTTCCATCGCGTTATATTTCCACGGCGAGCTAGACTTGTCCCAAGGCCCAGATCGTCGGAAACAAGTCAGCTAGAAATACAAAGTTCAGCGCTGCCCACGGATGACTTGGACCAACTCCGCATCAGCACAGGAAACGACGCGGCAACCAGTACAATGTTCTCTGGCTATCTGATTCCTGATTTATTCACCTCTCGTCAACATCTCAATGATTCCCTAGACACAGAGACTTCTGAAAAGCAAGATGCGGTTGTGCAGGAGTGCCTACCCTTTCTCTCCGCCCTAACGCCCGGCCTACGGTACAATAAGTACGGCATTCCCAGCCTTGATCGCAAACGACACATTGCCTTTTTGCACCGAAACCTGAGAAGGCTTCCGGCCACCTACACCTCGGCAGACGCGAGCAGACCATGGATATTCTACTGGGCTCTCAACGGACTTGCTACAATGGGTGAGGACGTTTCAGAGTACAGAACTTCCTTGACGGAAACTGTTCGGTCTATCCAGAACCCAACGGGTGGTTTCGGTGGAGGAAATGGCCAGATGTCACACTTGGCACCAAGCTATGCCGTTGTTCTTGCCTTGGCTTTGGTTGGAGGCCATGAGTCATTTGATGTTATTGATCGGAAAGCCATGTGGAAATGGCTCGGATCTTTGAAACAACCCGATGGTGGTTTTCAGATGGCTGTAGGAGGAGAGGTAGATGTCCGGTTTGTCTGACTGTTAACTTTTAAGACAATGGTCATTGACCTACTACAGTGGTGCTTATTGCGCCGTAGTCATTATTTCACTTCTTAATCTTCCTATAGAGCTTCCGCGAGAATCACCTCTATGGTCACGTGAGGAAAACAGAACGTTGCTAACGGGACTTCCAGAATGGATTACAAGATGTAAGTTATGTATGTTACATTTCTAAAGCCTCAAGGTGAATTTGATAGGCCAATCATTTGAGGGTGGTATATCTTCACGACCTCACGCCGAAGCTCACGGGGCGTTCACTTTCTGTGCACTGGCCTGCCTGTGTATCCTGGAAGAACCCAGCAAGAGCATACCACGGTGAGTTTTCCAGCTCAAATTACAAAATTCAATTCTAAAATTTTTGGGGAAAAGTCATTTAAATGTATCCCGCCTTATGGCATGGCTCTCAGCAAGGCAACATACTCCCGAAGGCGGCTTTTCGGGCAGATGTAACAAACTTGTAGACGGATGTTATAGTCATTGGATCGGTGGGTGCTGGCCTCTCATTGAAGCTAGCTTAATCGCTCTCTCGGCGCCAAATCTGGATCCCAATGCCGAGAAATCCGATGATCTTATGGCCTCAGTTTCAAGCGGGCATTTATACAGTCGAGAAGGCTTGATCAGGTATATCCTATGCTGCTGTCAAGATCAAACAGAACGTGGAGGCTTGCGAGATAAACCTTGCCAGTGAGACTTTATTCCCTCGTCTCAATGATATTCCCCTAGAATAGAACTAAAATTCATGGCAGGATGTCTGACTCCTACCATACATGCTATGTCCTGGCAGGTCTAGCTTCAGCACAAACAAATTGGCGCTTCAATGACAAGGCCAAAGCAGAAGACATAGCCGGACTCCTCAGTGCTCCATTTTCTTGGAGTTCGGATCCTGATATCGTCGAGGATCAGATATATGATGAGGCTGATCGTGTAAAGCCTCTACATCCGATATTTGTCATACCCGAAGAAGCCGTGGTGCAAATACATACCCATTTTTTAAATAAACAAAATTTTTGAATTCGATTAAGCTTCTAATCTAAAGAAACAAAATCTGCAGCGAGCTTGGATGTCCAAAATTTTCGCCGCGTCGACCTATCAACAATCAGATCTTGATTCTTGGCTTTTAATGTGATAAATGATCAAAATGCAGTATCATGGGTTTTTGGATCATCACCTGACGAGCAGAAATAAACTTTTATTGGGTGTAATTTCCAGAAAATGATTAAAATCCATCACTTGACTAAAAGTTAGTCATAGAAAAGGAATCTCTGAGCTCGATTGATATCTTATGGTCAATCGGGTCAATTATGAGGACAAATAGATGGTATAGGAAGTAAGGAGCGTTGCGCAATTCATCGTGACATGTGATATTTTATATCTGATAGTCGTTATCTGCTCTACTCTATTATCATTCCATAGCTACTTTTTTTTTAAATTATTAAGTGTATGCAGCCATCCCTAACAATCGAGTGATATATGGTTAAGTATCGGCATAAAGTTTTTATAGGCCAGGATATGGCTGTACTGCTTGGCGTAAGTCGATAACTATGCTGGATTAGCCAAGAGGGAGACTGAACATTTGTAGACTTAACTAGGATCTGCATCTAAAGCGGCGTAGAAACGGCGAGAAAAGGCATGTAAATCTGCAGGGTATGTGTTCCAGGGCCTCATATGCGTCAAATAGGGCTCTTAATGTTTTATCTAATATTATCTCCATCAACTCATCCTCTAACTATTTGAATTCATGTCATCATCTACAACTCATAACCTTGTGCTATTCTCGGTCGCTCGTGACCGTCATTTGTTGGTGATATTGGAGCTTATCATTTGTTTATTTCATGTTTAAACTTAGTTTACACACTGTGCTTGTACAATCATATGGGGAGATTACAAGATCTGAAAGATGCTTATCGGCTGGAGGAAGACGGTTGAACTTGGATTTAAGGATAGGTGAAATCCATCAGGAAAAACAATCAATCACTTTTCGCTCTTTGATAAGTATCTTAGTCCCAATCTATCAACAAAATCCGTCAAAGGTGTCTTTGAGTTTGGAAGTAAAAGCTTGCCCTAGAGCCGAGTTCAGTCAAAATCTACAGGACCGAAGAATTTGCCCACAAGGCAACGATTTAAGACTGCCTACCAGTAAATTTCTCCAGAAAAGGAAGCTTTGGTGTTGTTATTTCGAGAGATAACTCGTTAATCAACCTAGGGTTAAAACTACTTCAGTGTGAAGTGCTGTAATCACATACATGACAATCTTATCGACTTTAAACTTGATGTCGACAGTTTCCGGGCTCATAACTTATCGACTTTAAAGTTGTTGTCGACATTGTATATGTATGTCTATTATCACAGACATTGGAAATAATTCATGAGATTGCTTAATGAGAGGCTAGTATTGATTCAGATATAATATTGTAGAAGACTTATCCCAATTATCAGAGGGCTACAACGTCTTTATCTATCTACAGGTAAATTCACCATATTCCAACCACGCTAGCCATACAGGACGTAGCATGTAAAACCTGATTATTATCATCAGTTTGGGGCTGAGGTTTACCGTGCATATGCTACTCGAGTCGTATATCTGATTACTATGCGACACGCTCAGGTATCAATCTAACAACCCACACCAAACCGAAACTACTCACAACCCTGATGATGACCCCATGAATAATTGGAACAGTAGCCTGCAACATAGCACAATTAGGCTAGACATTGTTGACCAGGACCTAATCCGAACAATAGCGCTACGAAGGAAGAGATTGCGAGTCCTTCCATCCAACATTAGTTCACCACAAGATACCTTCTTTCCCAGGAGGAATCTAGTGGGCTTGTTGAACTTCATCGTAGAGCTTCGTCTGCTCGACCCATTTTCCGAAGGTAAGGGCGCCCTCGGGCGTGCCGAGTATCAATCTGATGCCAGGGAGGGGGTGTCGAGGTCCACGGGAAAGACGGGCACAGTTTTTTCCTATACTGCAGTAGAAGAAGTGATCTGGGCTTTTTTTCTCGCCATAGGAGCAAGTCATTAGGGCATCTTCGTGTGCGAAGCGACGATGATATTGGGCAAAATCTCCGTGCCCGGAACGAGCCGCAATTAACGCCCCAAGTGTACGTCGGGTTAAACCTCTCAGCTCTAGCGTTACTCCTATACTAGAACCAATTCCAAGTTACTTGTATCTAGTGGGGCCTTCCTGAGGCTAGTAAGTGGTGGTGGAAGCGTTGTACAATAGAGAAATTTCTCTTTCTGCTCGTGCTATGAATAGAGGTAGGAGTGGCACAGTCATTAGACAATCCGACTTCGCTAGAACATCAGCTGCTTTATTTCCAGGGATTCCAGAATGTCCGAGGCACCATCTAACACTGAGTGCTCCTGCTCTAGTACAGGATGCCCGTGTCCTGTTTGTCCAAATAGCTGCTGGCTGCCGAAATTTTGCAATGTGGCAAGAGCTTGTTGCAGTTGGTGTTAACAAGAGGAGTCGAAGAGCCGCTTCTTGGTTATCTAAGCAGATAGCTACGTTGGTTGCGTAAAAAACCGTGGGGTTGTAGAGGGCGGCTGCTAGGCCCTCTGTTGCTTCAGATATTTCTACGTCGTGTTCTTCTGCAGAAGCACCTAGAGGAATGGTTCCGCATGCAATCTCATGGGTTGCGCTGCGTCGAATTGAGTATCCGGCTCCTGCTTGATTTTCGATCAGAGCGCCGTCAGAGAAAACAAAGAGGTCGGTTATGGGTTGTTGAGCGTACCATTGAATGAAGGAATCGACTCCCGCTGATCTGCCAATAGCGCCTATCTTTTCCAAACATTCATCGCGTCCAATTTCCCAAGGGGGAAGGACGTCATCCTCTGAGAGCTCCGGGGAAATCCTTTCTCGGATCCCGCGCATTCTTGAAGAATTGCACCGTCTAAGAAGAGGGTGTCTAGGATCTGCTGCCGCAGTACGTAGGGCGAGGCGATCGTGTATGCGCTCGAGCCAGGCTTTTGCGAGCCCCCAACCTGTTTCAGGAAGAACAGCTATTGATGTAGTACAGAATACAGGAAGTGCTGCGCGAGCAGCATTGTTCATCCGTTGTTGGATCCGAAGGACCAGTCCTTTCGGAGTTTCTTTAGAATATCATGTCTCAGCCCCGTAGAGCAAGGTCGCGAAAGCTGCACTTTGGAGCGTTTGTCTCAAAAGCAGAGGGCTCATTCCTCGGGTGACTCTCGAAAGACTTTTAATGTGGCTTGTAACAGCCAAAGATCTTCGGCATGCTTGTCTGACATGTTCTCTAAATCGGACGCTCCGATCGAAGATGACCCCAAGCCAGCGCGTGTGGGCGTTTGGTTTGATCTCAACTCCATCCGCATATACACTAGGTTCTAGTGGAGATCTATGCTTTCGGTGAAAGTATTGTAGTTCTGTTTTCGAGACTTCAAGGGCGATGCCGTCCTCACGTCCCCAGGCGAGGGTCATAGATAACTGCGTCTGAAGTAACTCTCCGCAGCGGGCGAGAGTCGGTGCGGACGCTATAATTGCAACGTCGTCTGCATAGCCGAAACGCTTTGGAGAGAGATGAAGCATGCCTTCAATTGCCAACAGAAATAAGATAGGCGAAGCTGGGAACTCTTGAGGAAGTCCGCAATGTATCTTGAATACCGGAGATATAGTTCCATCTAGTGAAATTGATGCCTCTCGCTCAAAAATGAAATAAGACACCCATTGTATAACATTGAAGTGCCATACTTGACCCCGTAGGCTGTGACACAGGCGGCCTTTTTGAATTCCATCAAATGCACCTTTGACATCTACAGTAACCATTCCGGCTACATGTTTTTTGGCCCAGACGTCCTGAATGTCGCAAGACAATGCAGTGGAGAGATCGGTAGCTGATCTCCATGGGACTGCGCTACACTGATCCCGGGAAAGAATCTGATGTCTCAGCGCTAGGAATGAAAGACGACGCGCCACAAGTCTCTCCGATCCCTTGTCAAGGCACGATATAAGAGCAATTGGGTGGTATGATGTTGGGAGGGCTCGGTTACGGTTTCCAGACTTTGGTATTACAACAACGTTAGCCTTCTTAAATGCGCTAGGGTGTATCTGTTGGAAATATCGCGCAATGTAATGGGCGCAATATTCATGGAACGAAAGTAGAAGTTGACTAAAAGAATTTCATGTTCGGATTACAGCTAAAAGTGTGGAAAGTGTGCGCTACAAGTACAAGCGTAAGCAACACGTAGCCTAAGCCACAGCATAAACGAGTGTGGCGCCATCTAGGCATAGAAAACCCCCAATAACCTCCTTGCGCCCACGCCAAACAGCCGCTCATATGTCCAATAGGTAGCCTGAAGCGCTACCATATTACCTATTCCAACCTCTTAAATACACACGAGATTGTGTCGGGAACCTAGACGAAATGGAGGGCCCATACGTCCACAACACTCCGTATCTCCATTTCCAACAGTATCCCCCACTCATCGCATTGGCGGAATAAGGAGATTATTCGGGGTCTAATTATTGACCAGGCACGCCGAAGTACTGTTGCAGTAATATTGTCGGGCCCAGGAGCAGATGTCGGGACAGTGCAGCACGAGTTGTAGATCTCTACGTCTGTGAGCGGAGGCCATGCAATAGATCTTTTTGCCACTGTAGGAATTGCATCATCAACAAAATCTGCTTGATTAAGATGACGGCTAAGAAGTGCTTCTTGGAAGAGCTGCGCCTTCTCTGCTGGATGGAAGATCGGGACAGATGGTCCCTCTAAGGGAGGGGTGTGGTAGTGCGCCTCTTTTTTATGCCAGCGCATGACTTGGTAGGTGTGACGGCTGTCAAGCCTAAGGGTTCCTGTAGCCTACGCTGTCTAGCGCAGGCGATTATACGAAGGGAGGTTCCTGGGAAGATCTTGGATGACAGGGGACCTAGATGATTCACATTGAGCCTTGTTGAAACCTACTGAGAGTTCGTGAGGGTTACAGAAGTATCAAGGATCTTCTAGGAGATTATCGGAGAGTCTGAGTTGTCAAGCCACGGAGAGAAACT